GGCCTTTGATTTTAACTAATTTCTTAATCTGAGTAAAGACTTATTTCCTTAGTTTCAAGCTCAGATATCCTTTCATTTCCTTAAGGGATTTCCTTTTTCTTTGAAGTTTTTATTTTTTCATTTTAAGTAATTCTACACCTAGTGTGGGTCTCCAACTCATGATCCTGAGATTGAGAGTTGCATGCTCTTCTAATTGAGCCAGCCAGCTGACACTATATTTTCTTTTTAAAAGTGATTTTGGGGGGGACCTGGGTGGTTCAGTTGGTTAAGTGTCTGCCTTCAGCTCTCAGGTCATGATCCCTGAATCCTGGGTTTGAGCCTCACCAACAGGCTTCCTCCTTAGCAGGGAATATGCTTCTCCCTCTGCCCTTCACCTTGCTTGTGCGCTCTTTCTCTTTTTCTCTCACTCGTTCACTCTCTCAAATAAACAAATAAGATCTCTAAAAAAAATAAAAGTATTTAGGAAATGCAAGACCCAGAAAAAACTTCAACCTATCAGTTAAGCCATTACATAATAACCAACATGGAAACAGCTACACCAGGATTCATAAGTGAATACAACAGCTTTCCATATTGTATGATATCCTTAAATATGTTGTTAATGCTCTAAGAGGGAAAATTAATGACTTTATTTCTCCTGCTACCCACCAAGTACATATGATTAAATATCTCCTTTCTTTGCATACCAACTAAGTAACCACAAGTCTAAGAATAATGTATATATATAAAAAAAACACATGGTTATCCCAATGGATGCAGAAAAATCATTTTTTAAAAAGTAAAACCCAATGGATTTTCATGATAAAAGCACTTAACTAGAAACAGAAAAAAATTTCCTCAACCTGGTAAAGGGCATCTATTAAAAAAAAATCGCATAGAGGGCAGCCCAGGTGGCTCAGCGGTTTAGCGCTGCCTTCAGTCCAGAGCATGATCCTGGAGACCCGGGATCCAGTCCCGCGTCAGGCTCCCTGCATGGAGCCTGCTTCTCCCTCTGCTTGTGTCTCTGCCTCTCTCTCTCTCTCTGTGTGTCTCTCATAGTAGATAAATAAAATATTTTTAAAAAACCCATAGCTAACATCATACTTAATGGTGAAAACTGAAAGCTTTCCACCTAAAATCAAGAACAAAACAAGGGTTTGTTTCTCACTGCGTCCATTCAACATTGTGCTGGATGTTTTAGCCAAGGCAATTAGGCAAGAAAAATAAATTAAAAGCATTCAGATTAGAAAGAAAGAAGTAAATCTCTTTGAGATGACCCGGTCTTAGATAGAGAAAATCCTAAGGAATCCACAAAATAAAACAAACAAGAAAATCAATTTTTTGAACTAATAAGAAACACTAGCAAAGTTGTAAGACGCAAGACTTGTTAAAAAAAATCTATTGGGCAGCCCTGGTGGTGCAGCGGTTTGGCGCTGCCTGCACCCTGGGGCGTGATCCTGGAGACCCTGGATCGAGTCCCACATCGGGCTCCCTGCGTGGAGCCTGCTTCTCCCTCTGTCTGTGTCTCTGCCTCTGTGTGTGTGTGTGTCTCTATGAATAAATAAATTTTTAAAAATCTATTATATTTCTATTCCTTAAAAATGAAGAACCTGAAAATGAAACTAAGGAAAAAATTCCATTTCCAATGCATAAAAAAATACTTAGAAATAAATTTAACCGGGGATCCCTGGGTGGCGCAGCGGTTTGGCGCCTGCCTTTGGCCCAGGGCGCGATCCTGGAGACCCGGGATCGAATCCCACATCGGGCTTCCGGTGCATGGAGCCTGCTTCTCCCTCTGCCTGTGTCTCTGCCTCTCTCTCTCTCTCTCTCTGTGACTATCATAAATAAATAAAAATTAAAAAAAAAGAAAAAGAAATAAATTTAACCAAAAATATATAAGACATATATACTGAAAACTATAAAATATTGTTGAAGGAAATTAAAGGCCTAGTTAAGTGGAAAGATGTCTATGTTCATGGATTGGAAGACTTAATATTACTCCCCAGGGCACCTGGACGGCTCAGTTGGCTGAGTGTCCAACTCTTGATTTCAGCTCATGTCACGATCTCAGGGTCATGAGATTGAGCCCCAAACTGGGCTCTGCACTCAGTGAGGAGTCTGCTTGAGATTCCCTCTCTCCCTCTCCCCTTGCCCCATGCCCCCCCTCAAATTTTTTTTTTAAAGATTTGATTTATTTATTCATGAGAGACACAGAGAGAAAGAGACAGAGACACAGGCAGAGGGAGAAGCAGGCTCATGCAGGGAGCCCGATGTGGGACTCAATCCCAGGACTCCAGGATCATGCCGTGGGCCGAAGGCAGGCACCAAATTGCTGAGCCACCCAGGGATTCCCAAATAAATACTTTTTTTAAAAAAAGATGACATTACTCCCCAAATTGATCTATAAATTCAACATAATCCCTATTCAAAATCTCAGTTGTCTTTTTACAGAAATTGACAAGGTGATCTTAATATTTATAAGGAAAAGCAAGAGACCCAGAATAGCCAAAATAATCTTGAAAAAGAAGATAAACTTGGAGGACTCAAACTTCAAAACTTACCACAAAGCTACATTAATCAAGACAGTGTGGTACTGGTGTAATGATAGACATATAGACAAACAGAATTCAGAGTACAGAATAAACCTATGCATTTATGATCAATTCCTTTTTTTTTTTTTTTTTTTTGCAAGATTGCCAAGACAACTCAATAGAAGAAAGAAGGGTCTTTTCAACAGGTAATGCTGGAACAACTAGTGGATCTTCACATAAAAAAAAGAATGAATATGGACTCTTAGCTTGCATCATATACAAAAATTAATCAAGTGGGACACCTGGGTGGCTCAGTGGTTGAGCATCTGCCTTCAGCTCAGGGTGTGATCCCAGGGTCCTGGGATGGAGTCCCACATCAGGCTCCCCACAGGGAGCCTGCTTCTCCCTCTTCCTGTGTCTCTGCCTCTTTCTCTACGTCTTTCATGAATGAATAAATAAAATGTGTTAAAAAAAATTAGTCATGATGTACCAGAGACATAAATTTGAGCACTAAAACTATGAATCTTTTTTCTTTTTTACAGATTTTATTTATTAATTCATGACAGACACACACAGAGAGAGGCAGAGATAGAGAAAGAGGGAGAAGCAGGCTCCATGCAAGGAGCCCAATGTGGGACTCAATCCTGGACCCAGGGATCATGCCCTGACACGAAGGCAGATGCTTAACTGCTGAGCCACCCAGATGTCCCTAAAACTATGAATCTTAAAAGAAAATGCATGTGTAAATCTTTGTGACACTGGATTAGGCAATGGTATCTTAGATATGACACCAAAGACTCAAGTGACAAAAAATAAAACTTCCATCAGAATTAAAATACTTTGTGCTTCAAAAGATGCTCTTAAGAGTAAAAAGACAGGGCACTTGTCTGGCTCATTCCAAGAGGCATGCAATTCTTGATCTTGGGATCATGAGTTTGAGCCCCACATTGGGTGTAGAGATTACTTTTTAAAAAGTTTTAAAAAAAGAAAGTGAAAAGACAACCCACAGATGAGAGATAATACATTTATCTGATATGGCTTTAGGATACAGAACACATAGAAAACATAACTCAAAAATAAAAAGACAACCCAATTTAAAATTGGACAAAGGATTTGAACAGATATTTGTACAAAAAGAATATACAAATGACCAAAAAGCACACAAAAAGATGTTCAACATCTTTAGTCTTATGGAAATACAAATTAAAATCACAATGAGATGTGATTTCATATCTACTATAATAGCTATCATAAAAAAGATGAATAATAACAAGTGTTAGGATGTGGAGTAATTGGAATCCTTAGACCTTGCAAGTGGGAACATAAAATGATGCAGCTGCCTTGGAAAATAGTCTGGAATGTCCTCAAAAGTAAACATACAGTAGTTACTTTATGACCAAGCAATTCTACTCATACAAGAATGATCATAGCAGAATTCATAAGGCTCCTCCAAAAAGGAGAAACAACCTAATGTCCATGAACTGAAGAATGGATACGGGGATCCCTGGGTGGCGCAGTGGTTTAGTGCCTGCCTTTGGCCCAGGGCGCGATCCTGGAGACCCAGGATCGAATCCCACGTCGGGCTCCCGGTGCATGGAGCCTGCTTCTCCATCTGCCTATGTCTCTGCCTCTCTCTTTCTCTCTATGTGACTATCATAAATAAATAAAAATTAAAAAGAAAAAGAATGGATAAGCAAACTGTGGTATATTCATACAATAGAATTTTATTTAGCCACAAAAAAGGAGTGAAGTATGTATACTGATTCATGCTCCAACATGGATTAATCTTAAAAATAATTTCAGTACTAACTGAAATAAGTGAGACACAGAAACCATATCTTGTATGATTACATTCATGTGAAATATCCAGAAAAGATAAGTCCATAGAGAAAGAATGTAGATTAGTGGTTGTCAGTGACCAGAGAGAGTGGTATGGGGAGTAATTGCAAATGGACCTAGGGTATCTTTGGAGGGTGATGAAATGTTCTGGAATTGAATGGCAATGATTGGGAATGATCGTACAACCTTGTGAATATTCTAAAAACTACTGAATTATATATTTTAAAGAGGCAAATTGTTTTAGAAGGGTGAATTTTAATGGTACATGAATTATCTCTCAATAAAAAGGTCTTTTTAAGCATAATAATTTTGAGTTAGGTATTACATGAAATCCTACTAAGTTTAAATTCTGTGCTCAATCAGGAATATGGAGTTGTTGGGTTTTTTTTTTAAGATTTTATTTATTTACTCATGAGAGACACACACAGAGAGATTGAGAGAGGGGAAGAGACACAGGCAGAGGGAGAAGCAGGCTCCATTGTAGGGAGCCTGATGTGGGACTCGATCCCAGGTCTCCAGGATCATGCCCTGGGCTGAAGGTGGCGCTAACTGCTGAGCCACCTGGGCTGCCCAGGTATATGGAGTGTATATACTATTTGTAAGCTTATGTCAAATGACATGTTTGAAAACAAACTAGAAAACCATTCCTACCTTAGACGGTTCTCTAGCTCTATAATTCTTTCAGTCAGATCCCAGTTGCCTCTTTCAAGATTCTGAATATTGGTGTTTTTCAAAGATTTAATTCTGGTTAGAGAAGCAATAAGTTCTTCTAGGTCCTTGATACTATCTTTCAGGGACATTATCTCAAAAGATTGTTGCACATTATTTTCTTTGTAACTTTCTAGCTCACTCTTCATCTCTTGCAATGAAGTTTCTTTTCTGAAGAGCTTGTTTTGAAGATTTCTTAGCTAAGAAGAAAGGGACATGTTACTTAAAATCATAATTTTGGTTTTAGAAAATTCATGACTTCAATTCATTATGGGTATTTAAATTATACATTTTTTTTTAAAAGATGTATTCATTTATTTTAGAGAGAGAGTGGAGAATGAGTGGGGTTTGGGGCAGAGGGAGGGAGAGAGAGAGAGAGAGAGAGAGAGAGAATCCTCAAGCACATTCCCCACTGAATGCAGAGCCCGACATGGGGCTCCATCCCAGGACCCCAAGATTATGACCTGAGCTGGAATCAAGAGTCGGCCACCATATTGACTAAGCCACCCAGGCGCCCTAAGTTATACGTTATTATACGATAAAATGAAGACTCTCAAATCTCCTAACAATATATTCCAATGTTATATGCATGTAAAAAATCGTATCAAGGGGCTCAGTTGGGAGAGCTTGCAGCTCTTGATCTCAGGGTCATGAGTTTGAGCCCCATTTTGATTGTAGAGACTACTTAAACTTATTAAGAAAATAAAAACTGAAGCAGTGGAATTTTTAAAAAATCGTATAAAAATGACACATCACATTTGGAATAAGTGAATTTATTCTCATCAATATTAAAGTTGTTTAAAATGTTTTAAGAGTAAATTATACCAATAATGAATTCAATAATCCCTAGCAGAAAAGAAATACTTAATGCTTTGGCCATAGATATGTTGCTTTCTACTGGTTGTGAAGGGAACTGTGTTCAGAAGCCTCTCTCCTAAATGGCCTATGTTTATACCATTGTTTCCTGGCTTTGTTTGTGTTTGAAATGGGTGAATAGGAGTCTGAGGAAAAAGAAAGACACTTAAATTCACTATATTTTTAAAGCAAATAAAGGAAAGAAAAGATCATAAATTTATGAAGAGAAGAGTGATGGTCTGTGAGAGGAGAAGCAACAGAAGAGAGCCATAACCTGCTAACTGAGAAAGACCAGGGGCACCAGGGTGGCTCAGTTGGTTAAGCGTCTGACTCTGGATCTTGGCTCAGGTCTTGATCTCAATGTTGTGATTTCAAGCCCTTTGTGGGGCTCCATGCTGGGTGTGGAGCCTACTTTAAAAAAAAAAAAAAAAAGAAAAAGACCGAAGAAGGATTGGAAAGGCAGGGGGCATGGTTGCTCTTAGGTGGCTGATTTATTTAGCTTTTGGAAGCATTTTTAAAATCTCTAATCTTCTATCTGATAAGCAAAGAAAGTTCACTAGATAAAGAAAATTGAGGTACTGCTAACATTCAGGGGTCAATTAACTTTTAATTTAAGCCAATTTGTTCAAATTTCTAATAGGTTGTGTATGATCCTGATGAACTTGTAAAAGAGGGGGAGAGGGGGCAAATTTGATTTGACATTATAAAAATCATTAGCTTTATAACCAGAAAAAGGTCAGGAATATTAGTTATTGAAAAAGTTTCATTAATGAGAAATGCTATAATTCCTAATAGCACAGGGCATGGGAAGACCAAGCATTTCAAACTAATATTTTAGTCCAATATGTGTATAAAATGTGTTCTAATTCTTAAAAATTCTGTGCAATTAAGACAATAAAATGAAACTTACATGTTCTCAAAATATACCTTTATATGTATCTTTTATTACATCAAGACTAAAAACACACCTCAGTGAGGTCATGGAGTTTCCAGAGAAAAGAAGTATGGGAGAATAGAAAGACCACAAAATTTGGAGGAACAAGAAACTGTGGCCATAGAGAAGTCAGTTAAGTTTTTTTACCCACCTCACATTGCAGTTGTAAGGAATAAAAATAACATATACCAAGGACCTAACATAGTGTCTGTCACATACAAAAATATAATAAATTGAAAACATACAACTAAATTGCAGGTATACACTAAACTGGAGTTTGTTCTCCCTTGGAACTTGAAATTATGTCATGCAAAAAGCTTCCCTAATTAGCTGCAGAAGCGACTCAGCTATCAGAAATGGAGACAAGGTGGATATGGACACAGACAAGGTCATGAAGATGAAGTGAAAGATTTAAGCTCGAGCAGCCTGGGTGGCTCAGTGGTTTAGTGCCACCTTCGGTCCAGGGTATGATCCTGGAGACCTAGGATCAAGTCCCATGTTGGGCTCCCTGCATGGAGCCTGCTTGTCCCTCTGCCTGTGTCTCTGCCTCTCTCTTTCTGTGTCTCTCATGAATAAAATAAATTTCTCTCATGAAAAAAAAAAGTTTTGAGCTCAGGCTAAAGCCCATTTCTCTTCCTCATTGCCCAGCCATACTGATGGTAAGAATGCTCTGTGCTCATTCTTTATCCACTATAATTCTATTTTTATATCATTTAATTTCTCATCCCTATTCTCCATCATAGAAACTCTTCTCTTGAAAGTCACCAAAGGTCTCTTATCAGATTCAAGAATTTCTTTTCAGTTGTCATCATATTCCACATGTCACTGAAACATTTGACACCACCGGCCAGGCCATGCTCTTTTGCTGGATATGGTCATTGGCACTTGGTATCCATTCCCACCACTATGATGTCTTACTCTGCAGAACTAGAAATAAAACTTTTCCAGAGTCCTTGTGGGGTCTGGGATTCTCTAAGCTAATGGTTCTCAAACTTCAGCAGTGCATTAGAATCATCTGCTGGGTCATTAAAAAGCAGATTGGGAAAAAAAGCAGATGGATAACCCAAATCCAGAGTTTTTAGTGTGGCATGAGGCCTGAGAATTTGTATTTATACCAAGTTCCCAGGTGATGTTAATGTTGTTGATCTGTGGAACTACACTTTGAGAGCCATGCTATATGTACATTGAGCTGCACTAAAGAGATGCATTCCCATGAAATTTAGAATAGAGAGAAGGCCATTTTCCCACTGCTAATTCTGCTGATAAGCAAGGTCAAGGAAGGGGCCAGAGAAAAACATACTATTACTTAACTACCAGCTTTATGGAGGTTGAGGCAGCTGTGTCTGTGCAATAAACACTCAGCGGGTGATGCCTGGATGGCTCAGTTGATTAAGGTGTCTGACTTTGGCTGGGGTTGTGATTTCAGGGTCCTGGGATCCCCCTGCATCAGGCTCCCCACTCAGTGGGGAGTTCGTGTCTCCTCTGGCCCCACCCTCTGCTCATCCTCTGTCCTTATCTCTCTCTTTCTCAAATGAATTAAATTAATTAATTAATTTATTTATTTAAATTAAATAAAAGGCTCAGACGAAGTAGCAGCAACTTCCTGACCTCAGGATCTCATCCATGGTGGTGTGTCCTTAAACTCATTCATCAAGTTCTGGCCCCAAATCCCATACCCAGACCTTCCAATCACTTTGTATACATAATTCTCTGCATTAAATCATTTTCAGCTTGAAATACTTAGGGTGGTTTCTGCTTTCTGCAGTGAATCCATGACTGATCCTTGACATTCATGAAATTTATTTTTCTCTCCTTCCCTGATTACTTCTCTCCAGTTTTCTTTTGGTGGTTCTTTTTTTCTTGCATGGAGGTATTCCTTGTGCTGACATTAAGAAACTGTGCTAAACTGGATGTAACAAATCCTATATTGCAGGGGTTTTTTCTTTAAATGACCACAATAGATGTAAATGAGTGTGTGGGTTTTTAAAATGCAGCTTACATTTTGGAGGCGAGGTAAAGTTTCCCAGGGTAAAGAAAAGTCTGGAATTGAATGAAAACTTGATGGGCCATCCCCATCTCCAGGATCGCACTGACTTCATCATTTAGACTACTTTTTAATTCCATTTTCAGTACAGACCAATTTTCTTTTTAAAATACTGCTCCAGGGGCAGCCCCAGTGGCTCAGTGGTTTAGCACCACCTTCAGTCCAGGGCCTTATCCTGGAGACCCTGGATTGAGTCCCAGGTCAGGCTCCCTGTGGGGAGCCTGCTTCTCCCTCTGCTTGTGTCTCTGCCTCTCTCTCTGTGTGTCTCTCATGAGTAAATAAATAGAAATCTTTTAAAAAGTAAAATAAATAAAATATTGCTCCATTCCCCCCAAATATGCATTATTAAAAGCTGCTCTATGGTCTTAACCTTTAAGCAATTCTCAAAGGATACGACAGCCTTCCTACCATAGAGGAGTATGGTTTATAATATGAAGTTGGGCTTTTGGGACATTCTGGCAAAATTCTGAATAGGAATCAGTTTTGCAGTCTGAAGTAGTGAGGACAGGAATTCCTAAAAAAAATTACAGCATCATTAAACTAAAATTTCTTAGAATAAAATGCAACCATTAGTGAAATAATAAATTTAACAAATTCTCCCTAGAAAAAGGGAGTGATTAGTTAAGAGAACTCACTATCACTGATAATTAAATTGGTTTAAATCTTTCTAACTTGTGCTAAACAAACACTAGAGTCAGATTTTTCCCCCTTCTTACTTTTCACACAAGTAAAACTTTTTGCTCCCATGTTAGCTATTACAAAGGAGCTATTCTTTTATAGCATTTTTTAAAACTAAGCTCCATGCCCAATGTAGGCCTTGAACTCAGGACCCTGAAGTGAAGAGCTGTATATTCTACTGACTGAACCAGCCACAGGCCCCTATGGTTTTTGTTTTTTGTTTTTAAGATTTTATCTATTTATTCATGAGAGACAGAGAGAGAGAGAGAGGCAGAAACACAGGCAGAGGGAGAAGCAGGCCCCATGCAGGGAGCCCGACGTGATCCTGGGTCTCCAGGATCACGCCCTGGGCTGCAGGCCCTGCTAAGCCGCTGCGCCACCAAGGCTGCCCACCCCTATGGTATTTTTTGAGCATGTCCACTCTTTCCCCCAGGTGTTCATTTGTCAGTTTCTACTTGTTTTCAAAATATGTGATTTGCTGGCATCTAAGTGGCTCAGTCGGTTAAGTGCCTGTCTTTGGCTCAGATCATGATCCCAGAGTCCTAGGATCAAATCCTGAATAGGGCTCCCTGCTCAGCAGAGAATCTGTTTCTCCCTCTCCCTCTACCCCTCTCCCCTGCTCCTGCTCTCTCTCTCAAATAAGTAAGATCTTAAAAAAAAATATCAAGCCCAAAATATGTGATTTGCCT